ACTTGAGAATGATCACTCTTTTCCTCTTCAGATTTACTGAGATATGAACCAGGTAGATGTGCTACTTCACCAAATAGTCAGACAATTATTTACCTAAAGAAATACTGAATTATAGTCCTGTAAACTTAGCTTTAGTTTAGACGGAAATTGTACTTTTTGGTGCAACACGTTCTCACTCCCAACCCGTCACATATTGACGGACGGTCAGGACCCCTCCCCGTCACTCTATTACGTACAGGGTACCCCTTGGAAGTCAGTTTTCAACGGGCAGGGCGTCCCATTGACTTGCATAGAGCTCCGTGAACGTTGGTAATAGAGGAGTTGGGATCGCGGAGAAATGCTCTCCGCAGATCCATTCTCACAGCGTTTATCAACCTTTTTCTTACTCAATATCAAGCCACACTTATTGTTTTTACTTCTTTATTTTAATTGAATAATGTAGGACTTTTGTTGCCATCAGTTATGGGGAGAGTAGGGGCTCAGAATACTGAAATCTGTATTGTTTCATAGTTTTTTCCTTCTAATTTTGTATTCTTTTCTAAACCACACACTGTTATTTACTCAACAATAACATATAATTATCCTTGTGTTTATTTGTTTGATTAATAAACACAAGTTGGAGTCCATCAGGACCGAGGGTCGGAGCAGCTCATAGTAGTTGCTTTACAGAATATTACACCCGGAAGTAAGTATTCTCTCCGCTTCGCTTGACAAACCCTGTGATAGTCCTCAAGCTCTGTGATTGGATGTTTGAGTGTGCGCCGAGGGTTACGCCGAGCGTTGAACAGCACTTTGAAATGGGATGGAACCACGACAGACTGTCCAAAACTGGATTTGAACGGGTCCCCCCCTCCCCCACCCCGTCCCCAGAACTACACATGCTGGCTATTGTGTGTTTCGCAACATGTTCTATGGCACGTCTCTACTGGGAATTGTAGTTTTAAAAGACGTTTTCGTATTTCCCATAATAAGAAGTTGCCAGTATTAAACTGTGTACATCCCTGGAGGTTTAAGGGATAAGAAACACTCAAATGTAAAACATATAATTAATAAATGGGTGAAAATTGCTTGTGCCCATAATGGGCAGCATTAATATATACCCACATGACAGCTAAGGTCAGAAGAGCTTTATTTAACAGCTGGTCTTATGTCTGTGACCCCTCCTGTTGTTAATTGATAAGCCTGAAACATGCACTTGTCAAGGTTCAGAGGCAAATATGGCAGTAGCCATCGATCATCTTACATTACATTACATTGCATTTAGCTGACGCTTTTATCCAAAGCGACTTACAATAAGTACATTCGACCAACAAAATACAAACTTGAAGAAAACAGAATCATATAAGTCAGGTTTCATAGAGCTAAAACATTTCAAGTGCTACTCAACTGGATTTAGATAAGCCAGTCCTTTATTAGTATATAAGTGCTTTGTTAGTAATTATATCGCTCGAAGTGGAGTCGAAAGAGATAAGATATACTTTATTGATCCCAAGTTCGAAACATTTGCGTTACATCAGCATGTGTAACAGTTGTAAATATGCAGTGGTGTTTATTTGTAAATCATTTAGTATAATCAAACAAATTCTGTGTTTTATATTTAATAATTCTGTGTTCTTTATTTATTGATTGTTCAATACTTGACAAGGATGGAGATGAAAAACCTGGGTCGCAGGTTCCTCAACAGTGCATTACAATACATCTATCAATATGTGTGTATACTCCACCATAAACTGTCATTCTGCACATTTCTTATACTATCTACATACATCTTATAAGAGTATAATACATATGTATAATATCAGTTAAAATAAGTGCTTAAACATAAAGTAGTTAGCATTGCAGGAAAGCAATATATTAGTACTTTGTCAGGCTTAATATGTATACCCCCAAAGGTTTTTTCTTATTGAAAATAAGACCTTAACCTAAAGTATTCTTTAATGTTTAAATAAAGCCTTATTAGTTTGTCTGTCTGTGTCTCCTATTCATATCTAATCTAATACATTTCAATAACGTGCGTTAACCACCAGGTGTCCCTTTCTATCAGCTGTGCCGTTATGGTGTAAATATACCAATATACCGATTGGATCAAATATAAAAGTCAGCCGAATTAGTATTGATACTGCAAGGAGACTTATATTGTGAAGAGAAATTGAAGATTTAGTTTGATTGCTGATATATTTATGATCCACGTCACATATTCAGTTTCGGCGGCAGTTATTCCTGTTTATCAGGGCTCTATAAATAGGGAACTATGTCATATTTAATGCAGCCGAACCATGTATTACAATGCCGTTATGTGATGACCTTCAAATAGAAAAGCAAGCACACACGGAATAAAGTATTATTTTATTTAAAAAAATTTTTTCCGGATTTCACATCAACAGGAAGTCCGGTTAACTATAATGTCCGTGCGCAACAATATCCGCGGGTGAATAATAATCACCACATTACACACATCCCTTCACATTTAAGTTTACATTTAAGTATTTCGTGAGGCCTTCTAAAATGTTTTTAAATATAATTAGGGTTGTAGTTGAAGAGTTTGTAAATGATTGCGTTGCGCAATCGCACAACGGTACGTCCATTAATTCCACAACCACACACATGGATTAACATCGATTTAATACATTAATGTAGCAAAATGTCTTTGTTTCTGCTAAAAGAGGTGTTGACCAGCTGGGGCAACAAGAACATCGGCGAAATCGAGTGTGACTATTAAAAAATAAATAATTATTATATTAATATTGACAATAACAACCGACCGTCGGGGTAGCATTTGCCGGGGAGCGTTCTCATGGCGTCTATTATCAACGCTATGGGAGGTCTATGAAGGTCTATGGCAGGGGTACTCAAATACAAATCTTAAAGGTCCAAAATAAATGTTTCAATAAGACAAAGGTCCGTTTATTACGGTCATTCAAACTTTTAAACAATTGCAACAAGATTCTTAACACGAGGTTGCAAAAACAAAAATAATCTGTATGCAGCAGTTTTCATTGTTGTTGTGTCTGTGCTTGACCCCTCAGAGTCGCAGAGCTGCACAGTTATGAATAAAGGCAGCTGCACCCTCTTTCATTCAGCATTCCCATTATTGCTTTATAAATGTATTCCCCCTTGTGTGTCCACTGAGGTTCGTCAGGCCCAACACATCTTCAACAAACTCCCCCTTTGCCTCATCATAACAACTCACAAACACCAGCAACTGAGCATTGTCAGTGGTGTCAGTGGACTCACCCACAGCTAAGGAAATGCACTGTGCATTTTTTATTCCATCACAAAGCTGATGAATCAAATCACCAGCCAGTATTTATGTTCTTCTGGTTGCTGTGGAATCTGAGAGGGGGATTTGCTTGATTTTACCTGTTATTTCCTCTTTTTGTTTGCCTTCAACATGGTCTCCATCACTTCAGTCATGCATTATTTTATACTGCAGTTATTATCCAGTGGAAAGTCCTTACCTACTGGCCTAGTTAAATCAAAGTGGTTACTTTTTTTTGGCTGGGCAGTGTAGTTTTACACACCGTCTGATTTGACTTTCTCAGGACTTAAAACAGTTTTTTGGGGGCAGACCCTCTCAAAGAAAACAATATATTTACACACGTAAGGTCATCATCTTAATAGTTGTGTATGCTCATCCGTGAGCAGAGCATCAAGTTGACATGTCTATTACAGCTGAATGCGGCGATTACCATTTTGTTCAGCAAAACGCCTCACAAACGTATTAAGATCAACAGCTTTAGTGCGTTTTGATTCAATGCTGAGTACAGCCACACTGACAGTCTCTTCTCTGTCAGTGTAGACCACAAATACCTCATTCCTTCAGTGCTTGAGTCCGAATGCTTCTCGTTTTGCGCCGTCCAGTTCAAAATGAAATCGCCGCCAATCTTATGTCCACGCTCGCGCCAGGACCGGGGGAGGGGTTACATGACGCGCATCTTGTGCTGCATTCACTTGCACTCGGACATTAGAGACTTTCTCTCATAAATGTCCGATGAGCCACAACTTTTCTTTTAAAACAAAGCTGCCAACTGGGGTGGCAGCTCGGGTGGCAAGGCCTATTTTTAGGGTGTCAGTTGCCGCCCCGGAAGGTGAAACTAGGCTACTAGCTACAGTACAGATGGAACTAGATGAGCTGTTAACTCTCGCTCTGAATTTTTTTTTTTAAATTCTTGCTCTGACTCAGACAGGTTGAAAGAGACCAGACACACATTTTTCCCACCCGCATTCCGCGAAGACCCGCCCTACTGTGCCTCTGATTCGCAGATTGTTTGGGGGGGAAAAACGCTGACTGGATGCTGAATGTGATTGGACCAAAGCGTTGACACACACAGGTGGAACACAGTGGAACAGTCAGACATGCAGAGCGCTGTTTGCAGTGGACATAGCGGAGCATTTTGACTCGTTGCGAATGCGTTGTGGCGATGTCTCACATATAATACAGAGATATAATACATATGAAAAGTATAATTTGCTCAGAGTCCGGAGACAGTGCTGGTTCGGTCCGGATCCGGACCGGAGTCCGTAGTTTGAGGATGCCTGGTCTATGGGATGCCCCAGAGCGCTTACGAATTATACGGCTCTGGGATGCCCATAGATGAGAGTAACAAATGCGTCACTTCCGGGCAAAAATAACGGCTCCGCCCACTTTTGGGGGAAAACAACGCTGTCAGTTGAACGGCGGTCAATACAAATTCTGAAGTTTTTGCCAATCCGATCAGAAATTCTAGAAAACCGGAGATGTTTGGATCTTCAAAGAGCCCGATTACAATGGCCAGACAGGCAAACTATTACATTAAATCATTGGAAAACGACGATCGGGCTGGTTAAATTAAAAGCTGGTTAAATTAAAAGCAGCAGGCGGGGCTGTCATTTCGCCAGCTGTTGTGCGAGGCGGAAAATAATTGTTTTATGATGCCAAAAAGCTGCTGTGTCGTGTATTGCACCTCAAACATAAAAAAAAAGAAAAGAACAGTAAAAGAAGAGCTCTGTGGCTTCAGGCTATTCACAGAGAGGACGAAAATCACAATCAATGGGACCCGGCCAGTCAATACGTGCACGTCTGTGGTAAACACTTCATCACAGGTAAATGATGATGCTAACGAGGCTAATATCAATCGTTGAAGTAAATAGATGTCATGTTAAAAGTTTAAGAAGTGGAAGTAGATGCTGTATTGAAATATAAAAAACGGACAAACCAAGGAAATTAGCCTGCTGCCTGTACACACAGGGTGACATTAGAGAACAGCCCATTTGGCTCAAACTGAAGCAAATTTATCAATTCATTTAAAAGTTCAAATTGGTGAATATTGAGCGAAATGGGGGGGGGGGGGGGGGCGGGTTATTATCAAAACAGTCATTATGGTAATTATTTTATGATCTACATATTTTATAGGCGCAGTGAACTTAACCAAAAAACTGTCAAGTTTGTCTCTGTATTTGGCTAACACCTACCTTCATGGTTTAAGGATACCATGTGAATGACGGCGAGCATCCAGATTATGTTCCATCCATATTCCCACAACGACCATCGTCAGAAGGCTCTAAGAGGCTAAAGCGATACCAAAGGAGAGATGCTGTTTCTCAGCATGAGGTCCTGCCAGCAAAAAGGCAGCGAATAAAGCCACCTACAGAGGCTTCTCCTACTGAAACCCCTGAAGATTTTGATATAGCTTATCCTGAAGCCCCTTTCACTGAGGATTCACTTCCTCAGCCCTCTGATGATTATGAACTGAGTGACACGCCAGCATTACATAGGCAGCAGGTTTCCATTGCCATAGAGGTTGCCAATCTCAGGAGAGAAAGAGATGAGGCAAGAAGAGAAAGAGATGAGGCAAGAAGAGAACTCCAGAACTGGTCTAAGGAGCGTTTGTCTGTTCATGCTATTAAAGGAAACGACAGTGCATGCAGGGCCATGGCTGGGCTCAGCTGGTCAGTTTTTGACTGTCTTCACCGATATTTAGTTCAGTTCATCAAATCATCACCAAAAGGTTTTAGATTGTCTACCCAGGACCAGCTCTTCCTTTGCTTGCTCAAGCTACGCCAAAATCCATCGATTGCTTTGCTGAGCCAAATACTACACAGACCAGAACCCACCGTCCGCCACATATTCCAACGTTGGCTGAATCTTTTGTATGCGAAAATCACTTTCCTCATTCACTGGCCTGACAGGGAGTGCATCACCCAAACCATACCACCAGTGATGAAGGCCAACTTTCCGCGCCTCACATCAATTATAGATTGCTTCGAGATCAGAATTGAACATCCAAAAGCCCTTAAAGCCAGGTAAAGGTGCCAATATTTATGGGTTAGCCAGGTAGCTTTGACAGTGTTCGTACACAGGTCTGAATAAGTAATACGAATGAGTTTGATAATTTACAGGTCTTGTTTTTTAAATGTATGCTCAGATAGAGGGATGCTCATTGTACCCAGCCGCTGCATGCATCATATCAAATATTAAATGTATTATTGAAAACAAATAAAGGTCCATTAAAGGTTTGAAATCTTAAACTTGAAAATGAGTCCTGTTCATCTAACCGTGTTTTTGTTTCTTCTTTTCAACAGGGCAAAATCATACTCTAATTATAAGAAGTGGACTACAGTCAAATATTTCATAGTGTGTAGTCCTGCAGGAAACATCACCTTCTTGTCCAAAGGTTGGGGAGGAAGAGCATCAGATGTCAAGATAGTTAGGGAATCTGGCTTTATTTCACCCCTCTACCACCATCCTGGGGACCAGGTAATGTTTCATCTTACATAAAGTGCACATATTCTACACTAACAGTTCATCACATGCATTTTCTTGGTAATCATTATGGACAAGTGTTGTTATTTACTGTTTGACTGCAAACATTAAAAGCAAAAGGCCTACATATCTTATGCATTACTTGTTTTAGATCTTGGCTGATCGGGGTTTTACTCGAAAGATGAGTTTGCCTTACTTGGTGCCAGTCTCGAAACCCCAGCCTTCACTCTAGGCAGGAAACAACTCCCAGGCAAAGACGTTGAAGAGTCAAGAATGAAATCAAAATTTCTGATTCATATTGGTAAGTATACATTCATTATCCACAGACTGGTAAACTATTGCACATATCAATATGATGGAAAATAAATTAACTCTTTTACTAAATTAAGTTATATAAAAAACAGCACTAACGGACTGTAGCAAATTGAATAACAGTGCAAACAAAGTACTTAACAAACAATTACTGAGAACAATGGTAAAATGTGAAGTTTTATACTTGAAAATATTTTAAAACAACTGATGGGTGAACAGAACGGGTGATCGGTGTGCTGAAGCGAAGATTCCACATCCTGGATGGGCCGCTCCCTGTTTGCTTCGTAAAGACCCTGCGGGACGAGATGGAGAACAGGGATGTAGCCACCATTGACAAGATAGTACATACCTGTGCCGCCTTGGTCAACATGTCAGGTAGCATTGTGTTCAATAAAAACAGACAGGGGGATGTATAGGTCAAATCAGTCCTGCTGTCTTTTCTCTTTGAGTCACTTAGTTTTGGCCATGGCAGCAAAAGAACAACTCTTCAATGACTATCCTTCAGCTTTTTAAATCTACCTTACTGCTCTGCTCTCCTTCCAGGAATGACAGTTGACACCACGTAATTATTCTGTAAATGTAAATAAACTATGTATTAGGAATTGTCTTAGCTAGTATTAACCTAACAGCCACCTAACAACAAATGCTCGCAAATGTTAATGAACTATAATTATAAATAATTGTTTAGGTTTTGTGTTTTACCTGAAGCTCCTGTTCTGTGTCTGACTGTGTCTGTTGACTCCTGAAATTGTTATACATAATTTGTGATTATTTGTATTGTTTCATAATATTTGTGTGCCATGTATTACATAGTATAAAGATATAACAGACAGTGTATTTGCAGTCTCTAAGGAAAATGTTTTATACCTGAAGCTCCAGCTCTGTATCTGGGATTGTGGTTCCCGCCAGCTGTGGGTAGATGTGCCTGGCCCAAAAACGGCTAATGGTGTCCACTGCCTGACACTGAAAATCTTCATCTTGTTGGACACGGAAGATAACGGTTTGCTTTGGCGTCCAGGTGATGAAGTCTGCATAGGTTGTTTTGCACACAAACATCTGCATCTACACCTGTAAAAAAAAAGAGAAAGAAAAAGTACAGCATAGACTCCGACTACTTACCTGCAATTAACAAAACACAGATAATACAATTCCTTATGAGTTGTTATTTATTGTATTACCTGGGTGTAGTAGCTGTGGTTGGTCCTCAGCGACAACAAAGTGTCCAGATGTCCTCTCTTGTCTGCTGGCAAATCACTATTCCACTTCAAGGGGCACTTTACCTCAACCACCCCCTTTCCACAGCAAACGCAGTGTACATAAGCATCACAGCTTACACCAATGTAGGGCTTCTCTCTGCTAACTCGGAAGCCTGCCCGTTGAATACTGATGCTTGTGTGGGGTTTATATATGTCACTGGAGATGTTAATTAAAGTGGGTGCTGTATATGCAGTTGTAAGGCCCAGTGCATACTTGTATGTCTCAATTGCATCTTTTTCGTGTTCCCTACCCCAAAGGATGCCTGGTGTTTTCAGCGGATTTTTGCGTGATTCTTTCTGCACAATATCCCTCAGCAGTGATTTTGATGGTTTCTCAAGAGATGTGTGGATAACTCTGTGTGCTGATGTACCTGTCACCCTCCCAACCCTCTGCTGGTGCCAAGATGAACATTCTGCCTGGTCTTTTGTCTCTTCCTCTATTGCCTGTACCTGATCATCTGAACAATCTGACAGATGTTGGTACCAAGGCTTTGGTTTGAAAGGGTCTGCAAAAGCCTTGAAAGTGCTCAGACCAACAGGCAGTTCTCCTGAGGCAGACAGCATTTCCAAGAACTGTTGTTTATTTTCTTCATTCGCCATTGGAATGACCCTGCAGTTTGTTCCTGTGTCCCTTTTTTTGGCTTTGTCTCCATAGAAGTCTATATTGATGACCATGTCTGCCTCAACTTTTTTCGTGCAGACTTTATTCCAGGCACAGGCGATGCTGGTTGGTGCCACACTTGTATATCCAAGGCGAACTGATGCCTCCAACTTAAAAAGCAGGGCTCCGACATGGGAACAGCTTTCTCCTAGTCTAGAGTAAAAATATATTTTTTAAATAAATACTTTTTCACCAAATAACAAAAGCATTTCTTCCCTTCTGAAGGATAACATAGGTGGCATTGTGACTGTACTATTAGTGTTATGCAGTCAGCTTACCCTGCCATGCAATCACAGTGAGCAGCTGTGACCTCTCCAGTCTTGTTAACAGCAACCCAGGTGTTGTGGAGTTTACAGTATCTGTAACTCTCCATGATGGCTTTACATGGGTCTTGAAGACTGTTGTGTAAGCACAGGGTTTGTGGTGAAGAACCACATCCACCCAGCCACTGGTAAAAAAGGTATGTGCTTCCAGAGACCTGAAGTTCTTCATTGAACTTGCTGTGTAAATCCCTAGAGGACAAGTTAGCAGACACAAATCTCTAAACCTGCTCTGTCACATCTAAAAACATTTAAAAAAACATTAGTAGTACAACCATGGGCAATCCAGAAAGTTAATTAATAAAGACTGAATTTTGCTATTGTGATGAACTGTGTATGTTAAAAATATTGTCGTAGGCTACTGTGTTGTGGTATATTTACTGAGATTATAAAGATAGGCTATAACATAAAATCGTCAATTATCAACCCTACCTATAACTAGATGCTATCATTAATTAGCTTGGTAAACCCCCTATTTAACACGTTATTGTATAACACATATTTATAGTTTAAACAGTAACGCAAATTGGACAGACTATTAAAACGGATAAATAATGTGTCTTGATGACGTCCTATACAAACTACCTGGAGATTCAATGAGGTAGTTATAGATGTCAGGATATGACACCTCAGGCCATTGAGTCGGATCATTTGTCCACTCGTCCACCGGCAGACAGAATGGACATTGATCGCCTACTGCTTTTAATTTAATCATATATCGAGCCCGATCGTCGTTTTCCAATGATTTAATGTAATAGTTTGCCTGTCTGGCCATTGTAATCGGGCTCTTTGAAGATCCAAAAATCTCAGGTTTTCTTAATTTTCTGATCGGATTGGCAAACACTTCAGAATTTGTATTAACCGCCGTTCAACTGACAGCTTTGTTTTCCCCCCAAAGTGGGCGGAGCCGTAATTTTCGCCCGGAAGTGACGTAGGTGTTACTCTCATCTATCCCGTTGACAACTGGGTTGCGTTCCGATAATCCAAAAATCAGCTCCTAAATTCTAACCCTATCTCCTATTCCTTGACCTCTGAGTGAAATGTCACGGGGTTAAGGGATAGTGGATAGGAGAATTCAAAAGGACTTAGGATAAGAGACTGCGGTACTTTAGAGAATCCGAATGCACTTTCACTATCCGACGTGTTTATGATGCGCCAGCGGACGTCATTGTGTGCGTCTGCTGCTGTGGGGAAACTATGGAAACTACAGTTTTCTATACAGCGGACTACAACATGGATGTTCAATAAGAACGAGGGACTACTGTAAACTCATCTAGAGACTCTGCACCGTGCTCTGATGCTGTTGTTTTATGCTTTATGAACGTGGACAACAGAGAAACATATTCTTCATGACCAAAGTTGGAATTGAAATAAAAAAGGAAAGTGAAACTTATGCTCGTCACCCTCTCCCTCCGGTCCACATTAATACAAATGATCCCAATACGTATGATTGTATGAACTATGAAAATATCTTAAAATAAATACAGATGTATTTATTATAAACGTTAGTCCTTAACATCTATCACTGTGTATATCACCATTCAAACATCTTTTAAAAGTTGAACAAACCCCACACAGCTCAGTAAACACTGTGAGATGTTGACTTTATTTGATCATTTCAGTAAAAACTAACGTTCATATTTCTCTTTTTGATTATAATACTGATGAAGGTTCAGAAAAAAGCACTTTGGCAACTTACCACATACGTTTTAAAAAGCTTAATAAGCACCGTAACTTTCATGATATCATTTCTCGGTCATAATCGGTTGTTTCCATGAACGGCCGACTGTTGTGATGGCAAATGCTGCGGCTGCATTGCATTGTGGGGCAGCATTTTCTCCTCTCCTTTCGGTTAGGGAGGTCCAGTGGTTCCTAAGCTAAAGGAGGTTATAAAGGAAGTTTGAAACCTCCTTTCCTTTCATTTGGAGAATTGGAACGGCACTTATCATGGCTGCCAGCAGGGCCGCCTTAATGCACGGGCTGACCTGGGCTGAAGCCCAGGGGCCTACGGAGATCAGGGGCCTATCATGAGCCAATAAATTAAAAAAAAAAACATTTAAATAAAAAAAAAAAAAAGTTTTTTATTTCGGATGTTTTTAAAAAACATTTAAATAAACAAAGTCTTGGCTTCAGAATATGAAACTTTTATTTCCAAAATCACACGATAAATACATTTTTGAAGCTTGTATAGGGAAGATGACAGCTCTCACTCGCCACTCACTCCCCCTCCCTCCGGCTGAAATTATGAATGTAAGGCGTATAGTAATCATAGATAACACGGCAGGGTCCATTACAGTTTGTTTTCATCTGGTTTCAAATAAACAAAGTCTTGGCTTTCAGAATATTAAACTTGTTTCGGCAAATTCAGATGATAAATACAACGTTGAAGCTTGTAACGGCATAATTACAAGCGGAGAACAGAGTAACTTGACGTCACAGCAGGCATAACAACAGCCGGTGTTTCTCGTGAGTGTTTTCCCCGGGAAACAAACACAATACACACAAACGCAAAAATACACAAACACACACGTATACACACACACACACGTGAGCTTCCCCCAGACCAGTAATCCAAACGAAAATATCTTCCCTCCTTAGTATTTTGATCATTTGCTCCGCTAATCAATCAGATCGATGGATTCCAGAGATTTTTCTCAAAAATGATGACTCCGTAACAGTCAGTGGGCACCACTTCACAGCGAATCAGAATGAGAATATGTTTCACATGTGACTTATTCAAATTGCGAGTGATTGAGTGACAGATGAAGGTTGTTTAGGAGAAAAAGTTTGAGAAGAAAACGTTTGAGAGTGGCGCTCGGGAAAGGAAATTGTTGAGGGAAAAGGAGTTTCGCGACAAGCAGCTATTACAAAAAATGCCGAAGCTTACAGGTTGTTTTAAACCTGTAGGCCAGGATGAGGAGGAAGGAGGACAGATGAGTTCTGTACCGAGCAGTAGCGGTGCCGGCCGTGGGGCCTCGGAGCCAAGTAGGCCGTCTGGTTCTGATAGCGATGGAGTAGCGGGAGAGGAAAAACAGACAGGAGGGATGTTGGAGGAGATGGAGAGGACGACGAGGACTTGCTACGTGGAGGGGAGCCAACGGCAACCAGACAAATACACGAGGGAGGTCCGATACGTCACTCATCTGGAGGAGAGGACCAGGCCGCGCGTAGAGCAGAGTGGAGAAGTGCGATCACAGAGCCTGCATAAATGACTTTGATTTGTTGTTTACATAGGGGGCCTACAAAACCTATCAGCCCCAGGGCCTGATGGCAGGTTAAGGCGGGCCTGGCTGCCAGTGACGTACTTCCGGGTCATTTCACTCCGTTAGGAAGGTTCCTAAGCTAAATGGACTATTGGAATGCAACCCTGACTTCCAAGGGGTAATAGAGTGACGGGGAGGGGCCCTGACCATCCGTCAATATGTGACGGGTTGGGAGTGAGAACGTGTTGTTTGGTGAGGAACACAGGACTCAATCACTTTTCTCTCATTTATCAGAAAACCAGAAATCCCTAAAACATATACCATTACTGAATTGTTTAGGGTGCTATTGAACACTAACCAGTAGTTGTATGGAAATATCTGGTACAGTTCTATTGCAAATGAGATTTATTTAGACATACAGTAGGCCTACCTCTTCTCTGAGACAGTCACATTCCGAATGGGGGATAAGTGGCATAATAACCTATAAATTAAGAATGCTCCCTCTGATGGTCATCATATTTGGAGAGGGAAATACCAGGTGGCTGAACTACATCACCAACTAGTCAGAATAAGAGTAACCCAATAAAAGGAAGTGTATTAGTTCTAAATTGCAAGCCTCTAAAAAGGTACATAGTACAGGTTTTATTCAAACAGAAACAGAATCAAATAATTCTGTGAGAGGTCAAGTATATAGATACTAGAATATAATGTTAATTGTCAGGTTCCTCAGAAACGTTAGGGGACACATTTTGACATTCTGCACAGCAGGTGCAGAACTCCGTGCAGGGAAGGCCAACAGAGAGGCACTGGCACTTTCCACTCCCTCTTTGCATCTTTGCAATACAAGTGAGTAATGTCTCTCACTTCTGTAGGTGCTGGGGGTTTTATAAATAGCACTGGTTGAATGGCCCCATCTCTGACAGTCCACCCCTTGCCAACAGGACTCCATAACAAGTGTTTGGGTTCGGGCTGTGACACCATCGCTGTCTGAAACATTGCTCTTTACATGTTGTTGAAATGCATCCTCTGTTGGCGGCAGATTTGCAGAGGCTGCATCTGTTGTTGATGCAATTACGAACCTCAGTTCATCCAAGTTTGTGCACATCAGTCCATTTTCCTTTTTTCCATATAGCAGAAGCGCAAATTCTCTTGCGACTGGCAAAGACTCTTCCAAGCTGGCAGAGAGTCCAAAATGGGCCAGATCTTTGAGCTCGCTGAGATGGGTCTTGAGTTTGTTGAATGCTGTTGTCTTTCCTATTCTGTACAAACTACTTGTTGTGTCACAGCCAGTGAGTGCATGACATGCTGGTAGACAGTTAGGCATGTATTTTCCAATTTTTACAAACATGGAGAAGCATACTGACAGCGCAGCGTCATACTTCCTGAATGAAAAGTGAACTATAATATTACACAAATATAAAGAAGTTAAACTTTAAACATCCATGACTTAAACACTTTATCTAGGATAAAAGCCACATAGCTGCACCTGCAAGGTGAATAGCCTACAGCTGGTAAAAGAAAAAGTGTTTGAATGCGTACATTAACAGGTTTATGATATCACTGCCTCGTCTAAGACCAACCCAGTCTCATGGCATTT